TGACACGGTGGCTGCAACGATGGGCTCAGGTACAGCAGGGATCGTGGGCCTGGCACAGGAACGGGCAGTGTTTCGTTCTGTCGCACATGAGGTCACTATGAGTTGGAGACAACTCGATGGCACCTAACAATATCATATGGGATCAGACTGACAATAGCAACTTGAAAGATGTAACAGGCAGCTCAGGGGCAGTGAGTCATGTTCACGGAGGAGGAACCACCGGGAAAGGAGGGTGAGGATGGTGGCACAACTCCAGGGTCCTCAGTGTCACCGGATGGTACACGGAGAAACCGCTGAGTGGGATGGGATCTGCTGTGTATGTTCTCAACCACAGTGACAATAAAGAAAGTAAATGATTTGAAAAAGAAAATAGAACGCCCAGGCTGTAGCTCTGGAGAAAGTAAGAATCAGCCCAGAAGGCAAAAGGGTGGGAGCGCAGCCCCAGAGAAGGCCAGCTGCAAACCGCAATGTGAGCAGGAAGCAGGCCCCTCCTGCGTGCTGCCCAGGGCACGCCTGAGCTGAGGAGGGGCAGAACCACCCTTCCAACAGGGTGGCAGTCACTGCTCGGACAAACACCCGCGAGAGAACCACCGGGCCTACCGGCTCGGGACCGTGTTCTCGGGGGACATCCTGCTCAGTTGCCACCACACATAACATAAAAATCTTGTTCTACAGCCTACTTCGGTGAGTAGCAACTGGGGTCTTAAAAGCTTCTCAGTGGCCGTCTAAGATGGAACTATCGGTCTCCTCTCGTCTGAAGCAAATAAGAGTGAAGAAAATCAAAGGCATCTGGAAACAATTGGTCCAAGGATAAGATGGACCCTGAGGACCTCTGCTTTCAAGACCGTGAGACCAGAAGAACTAGATGGGGCTTGGCTACCAATGGCAACCACTGAGAAAGGGATCAAAACTGGAGATCCTGGATGGAGTGGGAGGAAAAACGGGGAAAAAATTCAAAAACACAAAACTGACCAGAATCACTGGTCGGATGGAGACTGGTGGAACCCCCGAGACTGTGGCCACGGGTTGCCCTTTGGGCGTAGAAATGGACTCACTCTCATGGATTGGCTCTCAGCCCAACGGGAGGAAGAACTTCATGCAGAACATCTGCCCCAGGGCGACGCACCACGGGGTGGCAGGGAGACGCAGTCATGCTTCCCAACCATAGAAGAGGCCTCCACTAACAGAAGCCATCAGCAACATGACACGTCCTGTCTTTTGAACTGCACTTCTCTCTGGCCTGAGGAGTCCCAGGTGGGGTGATGGTGAACAGACCGGCTGCTGACTGAGAGGTTGGCCGTCCACCAAGAGGCACCTCAGAAAAAAGCCTGACCATCTGCCTCCAAAGGACCAGAGACGTGAAAGCCTGCGGAGCCCAGCTGTGCGCTGCACCCACAGGGTCGCCACGAGTAGGTCCAATGAGGGCTACTGGCTCCACTTGGGTTTCTGCTGCCTGGCAGAGAGGAGTCACCAGGAGACCACCTCGATGTCTAGCACAGGGCGGCCTGGACCCCACCTCCCACAGCTGTCTGCCCTCTGCGGTTGCCAAGGAAAGA